TTAACAATTATTCCACGAGCGCGCGTTGGATATGAGATGATAGATAGCCAACGAGGCGCGTAGCGCCGAGTTGGCTATAATCATCTCATATCCAACAAGCGAGAGTGGAATAATTGTTTTATTAAAAAAACGCCCCCAAGAATCTTCTCGACTTTATTTTGTGAGAAGAAACTGGATTTAACAATGTACAGAAATTAGATTATGGTATATTGGCTGATATACCATAATGGCTGAGCCAATAAAAAGTCTTGAATTGCATTATCCAATGATCCAGTTTTTAATAATTAACAATATTCCACGAGTGTGCATTGGATATGAGATAATAGATAGCCAACAAGGCACGTAGTGCGGAGTTGGCTATAATCATCTCATCTCCAACAAGCGCGAGTGGAATAATTGTTTTATTAAAAACGACCCCAAGATATTAGACAAATCTTACCAAATCTTCAATGATTTTTTAGCTCCCTTTTAATTTTAACCCAACGTATATGCTTACCATATTTGTAGATTATGGTATATTGGCTCATATACCATAATGGCAAAGCCAATTAAAAGTCTTGAATTGCATTATCCAATGATCCAGTTTTTAATAACACACAATACTCCCGTTGTACACTTCAGTTCAGGGGGAGTGGGGAGGGTGGGTGCTTATTCAAGTTTGGATGTGTTATCCAATAAATATCAATGTTAATTATTGTAAAGTGCACTTCAATTCTTGTGAATATTCTTCTTGCAAACCAGCACTCAAAAACCAAGATGGTCCATTGTTGTACTTTGTTGCCCTTCTATACTTTATTAGACTAAATATAATTTCAGAGCTGAGCAAAGAGTTTCCAGCAATCTGATTGGTCGAGCAGTTCCTTTTATGATGCTATATAAACCACTCTCTGCAGTTTATATAAAATGGTAAAACAAAATGTTAATAAATGTTACTAAAATGTTATGATTTTAGAAATTTCTCTGTTGTTCAGCTCTGAAATTATACTACCACAATTATTCCCCTCAGGTTCGGTGAATATTATTGAATAATCCCCTCAACTTCATCTCAGGGATTATTTGAAGATATTCACCTCGCCTTTGGCGAATAATTGTTAAACAACTTTCTTTTTTTGTTCTTACGAAAAGAAATACTTATTATTTATAACAGGATGAAGGAATTGAGAATGACATCAGTATGGACTTGCTCTCGCAGGATGAAGAGGAAGTAGAAGATGTTGATGGTGGGTCATCTTGTTGACTGTAAGAGGAATTAATGTTTTCTATGACAATTCCTCTGTCAGAGGAACACATTGAACTAGTTTTGTTTAATGATTACCATGCTATACCCTCAACTCTGGTAATGAATCTACCAAAGAAATCACAAACATTTAAACCTGCCAAAAGTGTACTTTCTCACTTACAATATCATGTTATGTAGAAAGAACAAAAGAAAGAAGGCTGACTGGAAGTGAGATCTTTCAAATTTCTTGTTCACATGGTGTGACATCTTTAATTTTTTCCTTTCTAACTTTATTTTAATTATCAACTGTTTACTTACTTATTTATTTATCTTTTTGTTTATTTATTAAATTATTTATTTCTTTTAATTTACTGCAGATGAAACACTAAGTCAGGCATCATCAGCCACCTCAGCAAGTGCATCAGGGGTTTATGAAATCCCAGCTCGTCTCAGAACACTGCACAATTTAGTTATACAATATGCCTCACAGGTAGGAACTTACCTCTTAAAATATCTTCTTGATCAGTTACTGTATTTGTTGTATTAAGTGACCTGGGAACTTGTTACTAATAAATTTATGGTCTGGTCTTTAAGAGTGAGAGCTTATTCAAGGCTTGGTACTTATGTGAGGAAGGGTACTTTTTAAATATAAATTTTCACTATTTTCAGCAAGCCAGAAGTTTATCTTGCAGCAAAATGTGAAGATGTACCATAGACAATGCATTTAGGGACTGTCAGCCAGTAAAGAAATAATTAACAATTATTCCACGAGCGCGTGTTGGATATGAGATGATAGATAGCCAACGAGGCGCGTAGCGCCGAGTTGGCTATAATCATCTCATATCCAACAAGCGAGAGTGGAATAATTGTTTTATTAAAAAAACGCCCCCAAGAATCTTCTCGACTTTATTTTGTGAGAAGAAACTGGATTTAACAATGTACAGAAATTAGATTATGGTATATTGGCTGATATACCATAATGGCTGAGCCAATAAAAAGTCTTGAATTGCATTATCCAATGATCCAGTTTTTAATAATTAACAATATTCCACGAGTGTGCATTGGATATGAGATAATAGATAGCCAACAAGGCACGTAGTGCGGAGTTGGCTATAATCATCTCATCTCCAACAAGCGCGAGTGGAATAATTGTTTTATTAAAAACGACCCCAAGATATTAGACAAATCTTACCAAATCTTCAATGATTTTTTAGCTCCCTTTTAATTTTAACCCAACGTATATGCTTACCATATTTGTAGATTATGGTATATTGGCTCATATACCATAATGGCAAAGCCAATTAAAAGTCTTGAATTGCATTATCCAATGATCCAGTTTTTAATAACACACAATACTCCCGTTGTACACTTCAGTTCAGGGGGAGTGGGGAGGGTGGGTGCTTATTCAAGTTTGGATGTGTTATCCAATAAATATCAATGTTAATTATTGTAAAGTGCACTTCAATTCTTGTGAATATTCTTCTTGCAAACCAGCACTCAAAAACCAAGATGGTCCATTGTTGTACTTTGTTGCCCTTCTATACTTTATTAGACTAAATATAATTTCAGAGCTGAGCAAAGAGTTTCCAGCAATCTGATTGGTCGAGCAGTTCCTTTTATGATGCTATATAAACCACTCTCTGCAGTTTATATAAAATGGTAAAACAAAATGTTAATAAATGTTACTAAAATGTTATGATTTTAGAAATTTCTTTGTTGTTCAGCTCTGAAATTATACTAAAACAATTATTCGCCTCAGGTTCACTGAATATTGTCCAATAACCCCCTCGACTTCGACTGGGGGATTATTCAACGATATTCACCTCGCCTTCAGTGAATAATTGTTAAATATAGTACCGTAAAAGCCTGTGTATAAGCCGCACTTTTTTCCCAAAAATCGTCTCTAGAAATTAGGGGTGCAGCTTATCTGCGGGAGCATTTGAAAAAAGTGTCGCGAATGTCAACACCAATTTCCATCAACACGTCCAATCTAATGCCTGGTTACTAAGCTTTGAATGTTCCGCTCACTTTCTTGTTGTAATGCAAAATTCTATGGAAAAACTGTGTCGACTGAAGAAACTCCTGTCAAGAAATACCAGAAAAAGACCAATCTTATGTCAAAGTTGGTAGAAACGATGTTCGTTATATTAAAATGCTAAAATTGTGGGTAATATTTTGAAGTATTTTCCGTTGCAATGTTGATATTGAGTTTACATTTGATGAACATGGATGAGGAAGACTTCTCAAGACTCGACTTTGGATTTCTTTTTATTTCTTTCAAAAAACTTTTTTCTACAATTTGAGCTGCTAAATTCAGGGTGACGCTTATCTGCAGGTGCAGCTTATCTCCGGGTTTTTACGGTAATCACTTACAAGCAGTTCCATGGTTTGAGTAAGAGACCAAACCCAGTTTTATTTTGAATGTTTTTTTGATCCTTTGAAATGGTGCTTGAAAATATTGGTCTGGTATCATGCTATTTGATAGGGTCGATATGAAGTGGCAGTTCCACTCTGCAAGCAAGCACTGGAAGATTTAGAAAAGACGTCCGGTCATGACCATCCAGATGTGGCAACTATGCTCAATATCCTTGCTCTTGTCTACAGGTTATGTGGTAATGATTAAACAATTAATCAGAAATGTTTTCTTGTTCTACAGCAAGTATATCTGTGGTAGGTCCTTGTCAGTTTTGTTGGTTAGCTATTATTTAGTTGATGGAAACATGTAGTTTGATTAATCATTGTTTTTAATTATTCATCAGCATTTATAGAAACTGGTAACAATTCTCTCTGTCAGTCCTGATGAATCGTGGGAATGAATTATGAAACATAAATAGATTACTTCTGATTATCAACAGCCCAATTGTAATTTTGTGTTTTCAATTCATGTTTTAAGAAGCAATTCAATAGCAGTGCTGAAGGGCACACACTCACTGTGATGAAATCTATTTTTTGATGTTGAATTTTTAACCTTGAATCATGAATCTGAAATTTTTAATGTAATTATTTTATTTAATTAGCTAGTACAGAACTAGCAACAATTGGGATATTTTGCACCTTTCATATATATGATTATTGGTTTTATTGATTTAATGTGAAATGCTGCCATATGAGTGGTTGGGAACCTAGAATTGTCAATAGCGGTATTGATTTATGTAAGAAGTAAATCCAGATAATTGTGTAATAATTATTAATTTATAATATTTTTGATGTTCATACACGTGCACTTTAACAATATCTTAGTCTGTGGGTCAGCAGTTGATATACAGTGAAAGGTGATGTGAGAAATTTGGTATCTTAGGCTTCATTTCCTTTATCAGATACAATATAGTTCACCCAGCGGTAGATCTCCCTAAAAGTGTCCTATGGGACATACTAAATTTCCTCATGAACCCCGTGCGACACATTATTGAGGATGATGAAAGCTTGGATAAAATTCACATCAGGAATCTGGGACTTATGTGCGGTGCCAGTGCCGAAGTATCCATTACAGACAGTGGTATGGCAGACAGTGAGGAGTCACTCGTTTCAGGTATCATGTTTGAGCAACATGACAAACTTAGAGAAAGTATGGACACTGTTGAAGAGACTGTCAGGAAATACTTGCGCGTTGACACTGCCAGCCCTGTGACATCAAGTGTTACTGTTTAAAGTGGAACAAACCGTGCCAACTTCAGTGCGATTCAATTTCATTTTGTCAGGGAAATTATCTTTCATTCTCTTTTAAATGTACAACTAGAAGTCACTGGAAATCACCAGGTCTAGAACAGAAGATCTTCAACATTGTCATTACCTGATGTTGTGTTTGGATGGTATTGTCAAGATGCAGCTGGTGGTATAAGAAAAAACCTCGTTGATCTTGATGCTCTGAACATTTGAAGCTTTCAGAGAAACTTACTTGCAGCCAGGTGGTGTTTTAAGCCAGAGAAGAAATTTTGTAGATACAACAACATGAAACTGCATTCTAATTTTCCCAACTTGTGGCAGATGATTGCTTTTTAATTGCTTTGTGACAGCACAACTTAGCAAGTTTTAGCAGAGGATAGATTTAAAACAAAAAGAGATAACTACATATCTTGTTACTGCAGTCCTTTAAAGTAGTTGTCACAATGCAAATTGTTGTGTCAATGATATTTTACCCTGTGTTACACTAGGGCATATTTCTTTGGAGATTTCGATAAAATATGATAGTTATATTTTGTGAAAGGTTCATTCTTCATGTTTTGAATCTTGTACTTCTCTTCACTGTTTTATGTAATGTTGTCGGGTGTGCCTGTATGAGTCAAAGTATCCAGTTTTTTCAGAGGAGAAAAAAAAATTGAAGGCTAAGGCAAATTTTGTAAATGCTCACATGAAGCAAAAAAAATTGTATGATTAGTATCTCAGAGGTTTTAACACATTTTAGATTATGTTGTGTACCTACCTTACAGAGTAAACATGTACAAGTATGTATGCAAGAGGGTAACCTGCCATATTTCTTCAACGAAGGGCTAACGCTCGAAACGTCAGCTTTTGTAATTGTTACGGTGGCCAATTTACCATTTCAACTTTGTTGATATATCCAAATTATTTCGTTACTCCCACCGACGCAGCCCCAAACAGTTTCTTTCGAAACTATTAGCCTTTATTCATTTATATTTCTTTAAGGTTAATTGGGTTAAAACTTTATTCAACCTTATTCATCCCTTTCTTTCTCCCTCTCTTTCTCCCTCTGTCTGGTTATTCCTCAGATGTATTATCGACAAGTTCTGCTCACTGCATTGGATATTTTGGATACGATTTGTCATTGAATCAGATGGGTTTTGGGGGACAGGATCTTGTCGGGTGTTTAAGCTGTTGTTAACAAGATAAATGGGTTTTTTTTGTGCAAGTAATCATTTTGTAAAATAGACTGGCTCTTAAGCAGGTTATTTGTTCTTCAAAATTGGATTCTCAAATGTGTAACAAAGATAAAGGCTCCCACAATCATGCAGAGTTTTAAGGCCATTTTCACTGAACACTCATTATAACTAACCCAGCTTGCAGCAAACAGGAAATGATAAAGAAAACACACCTATGAACAACTTCTTTATAGTCAAAGCATGTTTATTTCACTCAAAATAACTTTCTTAGTCCTTTTTCGTACCTTTGTTTAAGTTTTACCGTGCTAGAGACAGCATGTATCCACATACCAAATTCAAACAGGTGAACCTGACACTATCAGTCCTTTCTCTACATTCCGTGACCTTTTAAACTTCATCCTTTTTTCTGAAGCTTGAAGATGTGATTTGGCTCTTTTACATTTGTTTGGAAAATTAGTTAAGAGAATGAGGAATTTTTTTGAAAGTAATGCATTCTAGCTAATGGAATCAGTTTGACTTTTTGTCCCAGTCTGTGAACTAATGTTTTAAGCACACAGACGTTCAGTGTTAATCCCATGTGGAGGCTGATGCATTTATGTAACTTTGTTCTTGTTCACTTAGGCTAGTCGTTTAGTCCTCAAACACCTCAGGGTCATGGTTCACTGTCTTAGTGCATTCATTTTTTCAACACTGTAGCTTTGTTAGTTTTACTTACCATCAAATCGTTTTCATCAAATGCAAACTCACACTTATATTTCCATGGTCTGCATTCTTTCCAATGTATCAAGCATTTTTGTTGTGTTTGCTCACAAATCATTTTCTCATTCAAATTTAATGTTCCACAATGTTTGTGATCCAGGCATTTCTCAGCAAAGTAGATTGCTGGCTCCAATTTGGTTGTTTGTACCTTCATATCATTGTCTCATTCAAATGAAATGTTCCACAAATCAAACAAACTTCACAATCTAAGTGTTTTTCTGTATAGTTGACTGACAGCAAACATTTTGGTTGTATCGAACAGGTCTTTTCTCGTCCATCTGTGTCTGTGGGAGAAGTCGCACAAGAACGATTAATGCAGTTATAACTTCAAAAACACAAAATAGAGTAAAAGAGAGAATTTTTAAAATATTTTTGCTATTTTAGATTTATTTGTAAAAAAAAAAGAGAATTAGACATTTTTGAAAAAAAAGAATTTAAAGGAGGAATTTTTAAACAGATTATCTCTTTGTAGTTAACCTCAAGTCAGAGGCATTCTAAATTGCATGAACATTTCATTCAATTTCTGGAAAAGTGTATTAGCAGACTTTCAATTGGTACTTTTTTAATGAGCTATAATTATTTTTTTAGGCAAGTAATTTCTAGCAGTGACAGCACACAAAAAAGAACATTTTTGTCTATACGAATATGACAAAATTTCTTTTAAGTACTCGAGGAAACAATTACATTTAGAAAAGATTTAGGTGCTTTTTTCAAGGCATGTTATTTCTTGCAAGGAACGTGCAGGTGAAACATTTCAGTCAGCATGTTTGTTGTTGAAGATTTTAATATAGGGAGTGTTGAGAAAGGGAAAATTTCAGTACATTTTTCCCCATTGAAATCTCTAACATTTGAGAGTATGCATGCTGCTAGCATAACACAAGCACAACATATCAAATGAATTTGGCTAATTTCATTCTTCCACTAATTTAAAAATGGCTTTTGGAAATGATAAAAGCACAAAAGCACTGCATGTCAGAACATAAAGAACAAGTTTTATTCTTGCATTATCAGGGTTTTCTCCAGAGTCAGCATTCAAAGGACTTTTCTTTGGTCAAACAAATTCATTTGACTAACCTTTCAAAACCCTGATTCTGAAATTTTAAAAAAAAATTGCCACATAGATTTTTGATGAATTATTCAGTACTACTTCTCAACTCTCTTCACCCCTAAGAGTGACCAGCATCTAATTTCTCCTTACAATATCACCCCTGAATCACACTTTAAGGTTAGGAGAATAAAGGAAATGATCACCAACTAAAGGAGCTCTTGAATGTGAAACAAATTATCCTTGTCAGCACCTTAGAAAATGTATAGAGAACAGTATGGAGAATATGCAGACTCATGTTAGGTTACAAGGGGTCAAATTGTATTTTGAAAATCAACCCCTCCCCTCTCTCCCCCTTTCCTAATTGGGGCAATGCATTTAAGGCTGCTTTCTAGAAAAGCCCTTTTTCATGAAGGTAGTAAATTATTTCTCAGAACAACTTGTTTGTCTTGTGTGGGCACCATGAACCCTGTAACTTCCAAGATCTGATTGTTAATTCTCCCCTCTAACTGCTAGACATTTCTCTCAAAATAAGTGACAAGAATTTTGTGTTAGATCAAGGTGGCACCTTGATAAGTTTGCAAGTTCTCATTACCTGTTTGCTGGATCATGTATGGATATTATAGGGAGAAGTTACATGTTAATCACTTCTGGGAGTTAGAGAGTTATTATCTTGAGACACTGGCATCTTGAGATTTTTCTTTCCTTCTTAGAGCACAGGATCGTTCTAAAGACAAATTTATCTCCCCCTTCTCCAGAAACAATTGCATTTTTGATATTCAATGATTTTTTAAAACACTTGGCTGGCATATTCCAGTCTAAGGGATCCCTGAAACTGCACTCTGGAGTAAATCCTACACCCACTTAGAAAAAAGCAGTCAAACTTGTACATGCATGAGCCAGTAAACATTACTTAAGCATACTGGTGCTATGCAGTCATACAGCTTCAAAAAGGTTGTCACATTTTGTAAGCAAACAGTGAGTTGATCTCTTAGCAGCAGAAAAATCCCGATTTTCTCTCCCTTGTTTGCATAGCACCACTCTTAAAACTACCAAGATTAGAGATGGATATACTATGCTGTAGACAATAACAATTACAGAAAATTTAGAGTCATGTTAATTCTTAGATGACACCTTACAGCTAATCAGTCTGTTTAATCTCGGCAAGGGTTGGGTGATTAAGGTATGGATAATGTTTTGAGAAGTTGCATGTTAATTTCTTTTGGGAGTTTAAGGGTGAAATGGCACTTTCTCTGAACATGTCACACTGTGTAACTGTACAACTTTCCTTATAGCACTATCTACATGTAGCCAATAAATACTATTTTATTATGATTGTGAATTGTTTACCTTGAAAAATATCTCACAAGTTGTCAATTTTTCAGTCTTTGTGTATTTTTATGTGAGTACAAAACAGTGAGAGATTTTCCAGTGTAATGACCATGTGAAACGATAGTGGGAACTTTTATGTCCACTTTTAATATGAAAGCTGTGGAGATGCTCAAGTTTATTGTCAACTAAAGTTAGAAAACAATGGTGAATGGTAAACATTTTTAGATTGTATATTCTTTGGAGCATGAAATACCTTGAGATAGCCTTGTTGTGGAAAAAGTTTCTTATAGCAAATTGCTGTCATCCTAATTGCAGCAAGTATTGTATTAAGATGTGATTAAATTACTCTGGTTATTCTGGCTCAGTGGTTACCCTTTCAGAGAATAAATGTCTTAATTCAGCGAGTAAAGTAAGTGTGGCATGTGGCAGTTTTTAATGAAACACTAGTTACCTTGGAGAATTGTGTACTTCAACGGACTTTTATTCTCATTCACACCTGTATAGCTCTATGATTTAAGTTGAAAATGTAACAATTAACAAAATTTTATTCATAGCAAGGAAAATTTAAATGAATACCGTTCACCAGTCATCAGTTACTAAATTAACTGCTCTAAGATTTCATTTTTTGATTAAAATAAATTGCAAGTAGTTTGATTTGTGATTCAATTTAAGGAAATCATATAGTTGAAAAAAAGATATCAATATAAGTTGAAATCTAGAATCACCAAATAGGGATAAGCTTCATATAAAACTATTCTGAACTTACAAATCGCATGTTGTGCTGCCACGAAGGTTCAAGCAGAACAAATTTATTCCCATGGGAATTGATTTAACCAAAAAATCTATTAAAACGTCTGTCAACATTCATTAGATAAGAAAATTTTAAATTCGATAATTCTAATGTCTGTGTACGGCATTTTGGCGTAGACAGAATCAGTGTGATCCGTGTCTTTCGTTTTCAAATTTGAGAATGAGCGAAAAAATCACTCAACTTGGCATAGATTAGGGGTTATGTTTTTGAAACGAAATGTGTCTCGAGTGAACATTTGTGAACGGTATTTGATTCAGTCAACTGAATATTCATGAACTCGCAGTGTGGATTAAATTTAATTACTGTCATTTATGTTAGAAAAGTATAATTGAATTGTAGAAAATGGAATTTCCTTCTAATCTGTGACAACTAGCACTTTCTAAAAGCTCTACGTGATCTTGACAGAAATTCTAAGAAGAAACCAACTAAATGCAAATTGAGCTACAGAATTTATCAAAAGTGAAGTTAAGAGAAATATCACAAAACCTGAACAAAAGTGAATTTACTCTAAACGAAATTTTACATTGTTCGATTTGCAAATACTGCATTTTTGAAATACCAGAACACATAAATGTCCTGTCTACCATAAAACAGTTCCGAGGCCGAGAATGTTGTTCCAACATGACTAACTGTCGGCTCCAGACACGATCTCCGAATTTCGAAAGCTATATTAAGCTGTTTGTAATTTGCAAAATTTCTAGATGAAAAGTTATGGATAAACATCTGACTGTCACGTGAAATTTTCTTATCTACTTGTGTGTAAATACATGTAAAAGTGTTCAAGTAGAGAAAGACTTGAATTTAGCTTACCTGCATTTTGTTTTGTTGATTACACTATGACACCTGCATGGTGGAAATGCCGTTTATCTTCCATTCTGTGTCAATAGGTCCAAATATCATGCGAAACAAATACAAACCTAAAATTTTAAGGAAGATCGTCTAAACAAAAAAAGATTTCATTCAAGGAAACGAGCAAAGTCGTGGGTTTCGTTGGTATGAATCGTTCCGCACGAGTGAAGCATTGGAGCACTGAGACCGTTATTTCATTATTTACGAAAAATAATGTTTGAATATACTTATTGAAAGTCTTTGTGCTGTGGCTTTTGTCTTGTCAGCTTTAGAGCAATATTCACTAAAACACTCAGCGGTAAACTAACTAGCTGTGGACACTCGCGCAAATTCAAACAAACTGAATAAAGTTTGTTTCGGTTAAGAGAAGAAAAGAAGGCAATATTATTAGTAACTTTTAGTTGAAACTTGAAAAGTGAGGCCAGACAAGAAGTCTCCATTTGATAAGTAATATTGTGTTTGTTTTCATCATCTCATGCTTGAGTTTTCTGGGAATAATAAAGAAGTTTTGTGTTGTTGTGTTTTGGCGTGCTACAACGAAGCGTGTTATTGTTCAGTGGCATAGACCCGTGACACTATTGAAATCACAAATGCTCTTCGAATCAAAAGCAATTGTCTCCAAACAACTTACTATCCCAGCATTCGGCTGAAGCTTTCTAATTTTTGCAGCTTTTCTCTAAAATGCAACATAAATCTTACCATTTGAATTATCCTAAAACTCGTATTTAGAAGTCAAGATTATTTTTTCATTTTCATAACATTATTCAATGTTTCGGCTCTGATCATAGTCGATTAATTAAAATATGTTTTAGTGGTAATATCAGTCGGTTATATCTCTCCAGGTTTTATTATATGTTTACATCATTCTATACGCGAAGGATGAAGTAATTATTGAACTTTTAACATCCGTTTAATAATGATAGTAAAATTGTATCATATTTCCTTTAGAGCGAATTTCCATGTTGAGTCACATGAGAAATTTCACTTTGTTTGCGTAAAAACCGGAATTTTTGTTATAATTGGGAATAAAATGTATCTTTTGGTTTGTGAATTGCTTTTTGAAAGAAGCTAAAATTTCAAAACCTTCCTGTTTTGGATGAATCTAGAAACAGATGTGAAATGAAAATGACATGTCTGCGCGCTAAGCGAAGCGTAACGTCGTGAAAATGTTTTAGTTTAACATTTCTAGTAGGCGAAGTGAACAACCTTATCAACGTTTTACGAACATCTTACCTGCTTTCACAGAGATCAGAACAAGTATAAAGAGGCTGCCAACTTGCTTCACGATGCACTGACGATCCGAGAAAAGACACTCGGCGAAGATCACCCTGCGGTAAGTTTGACTTGATTTGTGTTTTGATCAATCATTGACTCTTTGTTGAGTTTTTCCTTCTTTCAGCATTTCTCTCCTTCTCCTTGCTTTCATTCTTGTAGATATGTTCAGCTTCAACTTACCTGTATGTAGATTAGTCAATACAAGACCTAAATACAAACAAGCGAATGGTGTGGAGCAATTTTGTTGTCTCTGTGGACAGTAGATGCTCGTGATAATATTGTGATAAGACGCGCGTGCACACAAAGGGGTTTCACAGCTTTTCCTTTCCTCCATCCAAATTCTCTAATTTTCTGTTTTAATTCCAAGTCCCTTCGACCAATCTGACATATATTGTAGGTCTGCTAAAGTGCTGATACGCTTGAAAATTGTCTTATACGTGACCGCGCAATATTTGGACGTTGAAGAACGATTATACAAGCTGGGGGGCTTATTTCTCAACTGAAAATTGAAACCTGTTACCTTTTTGACAAGTGCGGATTTCCATAAAAGGAGCGTATGCCTGGCGTCATTTGCTGTCGTGAGGTCAAGGGTTTGCAATATGGCTCCAATTTTGCGCGCCAGGAGGGTCTTTTTGTGTCTAGAGACAACTCCCAGTCTATTTTGAGGTTTTCATTTTACTTCATTGGGGTTTCCAAAATCCTTAAAATCCCTTCGAGACATTTCATAGCTTGTAAATCCTCATCTATATGGGCAATTGAGCTCATTAGGGTTCTTGGATAAGACTTTACCCGCCAATCTTTCATATTTACTTTTTAAATCCAATTATATTCAATGTTCAGTTCAATGAGAATTATTTATTTATAACTCCATCAAACGAACAAAAAGATGTACTTAAACCGCTCCGATTTTAAACGCAACTCGAAAATTGAGAACTTCGTTCAATTCACCGTTGTTTCCTTGTCTTTCACTCGTCTGCAACGAAATTTCCTCTTTGACCCGACGAATTGGATAAATAATGTTTTGAATTTTAGTTCCATAATACGCGATATCTTTAAATTATGGAGTCATAACAACATCTGTTGTCAACAAAGTAAACATCGCATAAAGCTTCCGTTAACCAAACCAGAGGATTTACATTTTGTAATCCGTCTGAGCCAATTAAAAGAGCTATCTTTTCACGGCACGTTTCATTATTTAAGTGTAGCTTGAACAAACAATTAACTCTCAACTTGTTTTTAAGGTGGCTGCGACTCTTAACAATCTAGCGGTTCTCTACGGCAAGAGAGGAAAATATAAAGAAGCTGAGCCCCTTTGTAAGAGAGCCCTGGAAATACGAGAAAAGGTAACACTTCACGTCTCGTTTACTACCACACAGCAAGCACGTGCGAGTGCCACGACGAGCCAATCAGAGCTCAAGCAAAAATTGGGGTCCGTGTATGCTTGTGTCATAATGAGCCAATCAGAATTCAAGCGAAAAGTGGGGTCCGTGGATCACGTGCGCCATAACGAGCCAATCGAAATTCATTTGAAAACTGTGGCCTGTTTCTTAAAAGTCCCGCTAACTTATCGGGCCCAAAGCTATATTTTAAAATCCAACTTTCATTTGACTTGAGGATTGAATTAGATAAAGGCTATGATCCTCGCAGGTAAGCTGTAATTTCAGCAGTTGCAGAAAAGAAGCTTGAAAAAATTCAAGCTTCGACGGGATTCGGACCCAGGCCTCCCAGACACTAGTTGGTCTCATTTAACTCATGGGTTATGTTGTGTTTTAGGTCCTCGGCAAAGACCATCCCGATGTCGCTAAGCAGTTAAACAACTTGGCTTTATTGTGTCAGAATCAAGGAAAATACGACGAGGTATGTGGAACTGATAAAATTGACGAATCACCTCAAAGGAAAATTGAAAATAGTGAGTTAAAAAAAGTGAAAGCTTTCTTTTTTTTTTTTTTTTGTGTGATGTGTTTTTAAAGGTTGAACAGTACTATCAACGGGCTTTGGAAATTTACACAACTAAACTTGGCCCAGACGATCCTAATGTGGCGAAAACAAAGAACAACCTGGTAAGAAGAACATTTCTGTCGTAGATGTTGAGACAGATACGGAAATTTCTCTGTTTTTTTTTTTTTTTTTTTCTCTGTTGAGTACCCTTGTTTTGATTTTTTATAAATTTGTCGTCCTTCAGGCGTCCGCATATTTAAAACAAGGAAAATACAAAGCGGCTGAAACGCTGTACAAGCAGGTATGCATTCAGTTGCGTGACGTTTGTTTCTAACATGTGTAGACAAGAACGGTAAAGGTAAGGGGTGAAATCTTCTAGATAACCCTTGTTCCCTTGGTATTCCTCAAATCAGGACCGTTTTCGGACACCTCACGAGGCAACCTCGTTCCCAGGTTAGATAGTAAGAGCTTGGAGACAAGGCTGCTCAAAAGGATCTGGAAACCACTAATTCTGTGCTGTACGGGATGGTAGGGGGGGGGGGGCACTCTTTTTTCCCATGCGGAGTTTGATAGATGGTAATACTCATTATCTGAAAGACTGCAAAAGACGAATCTCCCCGCTCTTGTTTGGGTCTTATTTCATTCCACTCCGGTAAACTTCCATTCCATATCAGTAACTCCCCACCTTCAATTAAGCCACTTAGATTAACTTTCTTTGAAATCTCTACTTGTGTTTTGGTGTCCAGGTGCTGACCCGAGCCCACGAGCGGGAATTTGGACCTGGAACCGAATCTTCTTTAGAAGATGATGGAAAACGCGGGAAAGACAACGCGCCATATGGCGAGTATGGTGGTTGGCATAAGGCGGCCAAAGTGGACAGCCCTACTGTCACCACAACACTCAGGAATCTGGGAGCGTTGTACCGCAGACAGGGCAAGTTTGAAGCAGCGGAGACGCTTGAGGAGTGTGCGCTGAGATCACGACCGAATGTTAGTCGAGAGGTGTAATATGACTCTTTTAATCAGTATTCATTGAAAATCAATATTTGTATGCAAGTTTTACGCTAATTTCCATCCAGAACAAAGTATCTCGTAGTAGAAATTCTCTCTTCTACAACTACGGTATTTCCAAGAGGACCTGATGGTAGCCTGAATCACCTTGAAATCATATACGAGGTCCATTTTTAACCGCACAAATGATTATGAATTCTAACTCCATATAGTCTCTTCGGGTTTTGCCCTGAACATATATACTCTCATTCGCTTATGCGATCTTTTAAAGATTTGGGGGTGTAGAGTACTAAAAGGTCCGAACAAAGAACTGCACTCTCCCCCCTCCCCCCCCTTTCCCCCGCATCTAAAGGAAGGAACAATCTCCACTCCTCTTAGGAGTATTTATAGCTAGCAACAACCTTTCCAAGAGGCTTCCCATACCGCTTGTGGAATGCCTGCCGTAAACTAACGTCCCGTCTAAGGGCAGAAACATTTCTCCAATATTCGATCTTACTGTGAAATCCTCAGCAAAATAAGCTGCTTGTCCTGTAAGTGTTTATCTAACCAAACGAGTTTTCTTTCACTAGGCTCTTGATGTTGTTCGCCAGACAAAGGTCGCACAACTTTTGGCAGAAGATGTGGGCGGTGCATCATTTTCCTCCAGCAGTGTGGCTTCGTCCTCTTCCTCCTTGAACGGCAATGGAAGCAAATCCTCCATAGAACCAGAAAGAGATGATCCCAACGACGATAAAAAGAATGGAAAACGCGAGAAGACATTTTCACGCCTTAAGAGAACGTTGAGTAGCCGCGGTCAAAAGCTGATGGAAAAGATGGGTGCCAGTGGTACACGGCTTCAGCGGTCGTCGTCACGTGATAACCTAGCCCATCACGCCAAGCTGTCGCCGTCAGAGAGGATTTCACGTAGCACTCCCATGCTCGCGCAGCCACAACCTGATCCCGACCGGATACGGTCAGGGAGTGTTAGCACCAGGGGTACCCCGTTGGGGCCTTGAAAAGTAGCACCAGGATACCATGCAAGGGGAATTGTCGATAAAATATGCAGGGACGGGAAGGAGAACAATTGTATAATATTTGTTAGTATGTTAAAATTTATTGGACCAAATTTACTCTTGAAATTAGTTTCTAGTCAATTTGAGGTTCACCTTTTAGTGGAGTAGGTCAATTTAATTTTCAAAAATAAGCGAAGATCTGTCAAGTCATTTAAGGTTTGGGAAGAGAAAAAAGCGTCGGGTTGATACGTTAAATGTTTGTAATTGTGTCAAAATAAATCCAGAATTGAATTCTTCACTCTGCTAAAACATGCGCTAAAATACAAAACCAATCGTGTCGAACGTGCGTGACACGTAATTAGTGCGTGGGATCTGATCGCGTGTATTTCAACCCTTGTGTTCTAATTGGTTCATTCATGATCACTCCAAATGGTTGTTACTGTGGCCTTTGGTATGACAGAAATTCCCTGCAAAACACTCAGAGAGAGAATTCTAACTGGCAAAATTTTGGCCAAGTGCGAGCAGAAGGCGTTCATATCTGCTCTTAATTCTGTTAGAACTTAACATTACTCGACTTCAGGGATCCATTGAACCTTACCAAAGATTTTACTCCGGCTATCTTTGTATTTTACACAGGCTCCGAGTTATCTTATGTAATTTCCGAAAATGTTTGCTCTACAATTTGGTTAATGAAAACAGAATGTTAGTAGATATTCTAGAACTTTGCTCATCTTTTAGAATCGTCCCGTAAAGCAGACTGACTTTACCTCCTAAATTACTCTACAATAAACGAACTAGCTGATATGTTTTAACTGGGCCTGTCGAGGAGACATTTGCTTTTTAAAATGTTTGTCCTTTTTTTTTCGGTTTGCAAGCATTCATTTTGGTCAATTGAGAGTTTATGTGAAGCTTTGTTGTTATCTTAAGAGCCGAAATCTCTATTACTTTTTATCAGTCAAATGAATAATTACATGAATTTTATTATTTAACGTTGTGGCTGTAAATGCCTAAGGGTCTCTTTAGACAACCCCGCGGAATTTGTTAGCCCGGACTGGATCAACCCGAAGGGTACACCTCTTTCAGGCAACTGGGTCAGTCTCCAATCACCCCTCCCTCCCCTGGGGGATTAGCCCTCATTGCCGGGTATCTCGTGCCGAGACCCGGGTCACTCCACTCAGAATAGTTTAAATTTTTTTCATTTATTTTATGTGAACGGCGGCTAAACGTCAATCTGAGTCAGTTATACTATCACTCAAATAATCATAGTCGTTTCATCTTTCATTTTTGGCACTATGATCTGCCCTCGTTTTCGCGTCGTACGTCAGTAGAAAGACTGACCCAGGTCACTCTCGGGGAGTCAACCACGCAGGAATGTAGATAGGCGACCTGGATATGAATTGCGTATTTTAACTTCGGTGATAATTTAACCCGGGGTATAAATGAACTAGGGGTTGTGTAAAGAGGTGTCATGGGGCGTTTAAGTTAGAGAAGTTGTGAAATAAATTATGACCGACCGAGAGAGAGTTCATCGGGGTGAAATGTACGGCATTGCTAATATAGGGCTTGAAGCTGCCACGACAGCTAACAGAACCGTATATTCAGCAGAACTTCTTATACTCACCCCAAAAATACTTGATCAAAGCCACTTTTGATTCTATCTTTCCAGGAGAAAATGTGTGTATGTTACGTCTCAAGTCTCACGCCGCGCTACCCTGCGCGCAGAGGCCCTTTGATCTTCCTAATCTAAGAAGATCAAAGGGCCTCTGCGCGCAGGGTAGCGCCGCGCGGATCCTCGAATTGCATTCGAGGAATCTGCGTGGAGCCCTTACAATCATGGAATCCTTCCCATGTATCCCGGCGAGTTACTACACCGCAAAATGGCCGACGATGACAACAATGATCCCACGTGTACGTTTTCTAGTTTAGGCTTAAATAACTGGCTCGTTAAACAGTGCAATGCTGTTGGAATAAAAAGCCCGACAGAGATTCAACAGAAGTGTGTTCCGCCGATTTTGTCTGGACGTGATTGCATTGGGTGTGCTAAAACTGGAAGTGGGAAAACGGCTGCTTTTGCTCTGCCCATACTTCAAAGACTCTGCGAAGATCCTTATGGAATATTTGCTGTTATTCTCACGCCTACTAGGTAGAAAGTTAATTTTATTGTTAATTACTGTCCTGATTGCTCATTTTATCATTTCGAAATGGTTGTTTATATTTCTGTGTAGTTCGATCTTGCTACCTCAGGATCGTTCGAATGTCAAGCTTGTTTGTGACAATAAAAATTTCATCGGCCAGTGATCTTTCTCGTTACAAATACTTGTTGATCTTCCGTCAAAAGAGTTCCAAAACATTGTTCAGACCTTGTTGTTTTCACCCAAAAATTCCGTGGAATAGGGGTAATCACTGTCTTTATAGCTAGGGAGTGCAGCCACATCAATTGGGTTTTAAGGGTTAATGAAATCCCTGGGGTAGCCTTCAGTGGATTAACATCCCATCTAGAGGGGGGTAGACATGCTCATAGCCCCTATATCCCACAGAAACTTACATAAGCTGCTACGGTTTGGCTAATTGACTTAAGTACTGACATAAATGTTGTCATTACTCTCCTCAGAGAACTGGCATATCAAATTTGCGATCAATTCAGAGCCCTTGGAAAACCCATTGGCCTCAAGGAGGCTGTCATTATTGGTGGCCTGGACATGATGAAACAATCACTTATACTTGCCGAGAAACCTCATGTTATTATAGCAACTCCAGGGAGACTGGCCGATCACCTTAAGAGCACGGATACCTTTGACCTGAAGAAAATAAAATTCTTAGTTCTCGATGAAGCTGACAGACTTCTGGATCCTTCATTTAGTGATGATCTTCAAGTGATATTTGACAGTGTTCCCACAGAAAGACAGACATTACTTTTCAGTGCCACTCTGACAGACACTCTCCAAGAACTGAGAGAGATATCAAGTAATGATCCATTTTACCATGAAGTGAAGTCTGAGTGAGTAAAAATATATCAACGTTATTTTCTTACCTCCCCTAAAGGCAGTATGAACACTTATGGAGATCTTTATTTTATGACGCTACCACTGTACAATATCTCTCTTAAACCTTTAATTCCCAAGAAATTATTTTTAATACTCCCTTCTAGCTTCTACGCATTTCCTTGTGCATTAGTTATGAGGAATTAGTGTTAGATCAAGAAAACAGCTATCTGATAGCTATAAGTATTCTCATTACCCATTTGGTGGGTAATGTATGGATATGGTAAGGGGAAGTTACAAGTGAATCACTTGTGGGAGTTAAAAGGTTGAGAGTGACTAGCATGTACAGGGCTTGACACTTACTTTTCAACTTACTGGCCAAGTGGCTAGTGACAAGGCAGATGTTACGACAATTTCAGTTTGTTTACTAGCCAAACTGGCCAGTGGAAATCGAAAACCACTAACCAAAACTGAATTTCTACTAGTCTGTGGCTAGTTGGCTACCGTAAGTGTTGAGCCCTGATGTATTTTCCCCTCACAAAATCACCCCTGAATCAAGAATGAGAACAAAGAAATGTGATCACCAAACAAAGAAGTTCTTGATTAATACACAATTTCTCCTTGTCAGCACCTTAGGAAATGTATAGAGAACAGTATGGAGAATATGTAGACTGATGTGAGGGTGTGAAAGGTTTAGATTATTCCTCAATGCCAAATTTCACACTTTGATTCACATACATTTATGTGTGATTAGTATGCATGCAATAAAAAATTGCACCTTTCTCCTTGTGGCTGAAACTTGATAGAGAAGTACCTGGAAGTCTTCTCACTCCTAATATCTCATCAGTAATTCTCCTACAGTTTGCCATATAATTGTTATAATCTTAATTTGGAGAATTTGGTATTGGATCAAGTGATAATCCCCTAATTGCTATATCTGATTATTCTCACTACTTGACTGCTTGATATTATATTGATATTTTTTAAGGAGAAATTCTGTCTTGGTCAGTCATGATAGTTTAAGGGTTAGTATTCATTCATCACAGTGGCACTGCTGGTCAAAACGTTTGAACATGGGATCTATTTGTTTACTCATTAACAGTGATTTTGATTTTCAGCATAAAAACAGTCACTGAGCTTGACCAGAGATACATCCTTGCTTCAGCCAGTGTGAGAGACTCCTATCTCATTCATATTTTGCGAGAGCGTGAAGAAAACAAATCAGTAATCGTCTTCACGCATACATGTAAAAATTGCCAAACCCTAGCAAACATGCTATGGAAGTGTGAGCTGCCATGTGTGGCTCTCCATTCCCTGAAATCTCAAGGGGAAAGACTTGCAGGCCTAGCCACTTTCAAGTCAGGTATAGTCAAGATTCTTGTAGCAACCGATGTAGCAAGTCGTGGGTTAGACATTCCTCAAGTAGAACTTGTGATCAACAGTAATGTGCCGGCGTCTCCCAAGGACTACATACACCGCGTCGGACGGACGGCAAGAGCAGGGCGAGGTGGAATGGCGATAACGCTTGTGACGCAGTATGATGTCGATAGGGTGAAACAAATCGAAGCCACCATCAATACTACGCTTGTTGAGTTTGAAACAAATGAAAATGACGTTCTGCCATTGCTGAAGGCAGTGATGGTGGCACGAAGAGAAGCAGAGTTGAGAGTGAGAGGTAGTGCTGTGTTAGAAAAGAGATTGATTAATAAGAGAAAAAAACTGATCCAGGAAGGGAAAGATCCTGATCTGAAGACGTCAAGAAGGAAAAGAAGAAAGTACAAAAAGGAGAAGAACTAACATTAGATTTAAACGTTGTTGCATTGCTGACGGTGAAAGATGAAGAAAGAGAGGCATTTGAATTGAAGTTAACAACGTTATGAATACTGGACTTCTTCAAATGAAAGTTTACCTCTAAATGCATGTTTTTTCATTCAATTTGAATAATTGACCCTATCAGAAAACCCGGCATAGCCTGTGTAACCAGGCTCCTGAAGGATGGAAGAGGGAAGGGGATTGGGGACAAATGAAACACTCAGTGTATACTCTGTTGGCAACGTTTACTTGCTGTATTTCCCCGAATAAGCGCCCACCCACCCCCTCTACTTGCCAAAATGTCAAGTAAGTTACCCCCCTTTCCCTCGCTTTTTCAAACGAGAGAGGATACAAAAAAAAACCCTGTTCCTAAAATTAGTGTTACCACAAGAAAAGTTTGCCATTTGGCAATGGAGGAAACAAATCAATTATCGTCTTCACACCTGCATGTAAAAATTGCTTAACATTAGCAAATATGCTGTGGAGGTGTGAGCTGCCATGTGTGGTTCTCCATTCCCTGAAATCTCAAGGAGAAAGGCTTGCAGGTGGAATCAGTAGTTCCTTTTCTCTTCCAGTTGTGTCCATCCCCAACTGCTTGCAGACTTTTCTTAGGTGCGTTTTCTATTCTATTAAGTTTTGTCCTATTGGAACGCGTTTGGAGGTAACATTAAATAAGGAATGATAGTTCAATCGAAATATGAACAACAAGCGTTAAAACCGTGTCAGCGCCGTTCACGTGCCTCACTTCGTAGGTCCCAATCTTGTCTCTTGTCGGCTTATTCCCTGTCGTGTATTTACTTAGCAACTAATTCTTTTCCTATTGTTTAAACAAACGAAAGATATTTGATATTCACTTTACATCTTTGTGGATAATGTAAGTTTTGTTTTTCTAGTTAAGATTCAGCCAAAATTAAGTTAGAGTTCGTTGAGAGTAAATAGATAGATAGTTTAGATAGATAGATAATTTATTAGAATATCGAACATGGCAGTCCGTAGACTGAATTGCGTTACAATTACTAAGAACCAGGAATAAATAAATTCCAAATACAAATTGAAATTATAATAAAACCATAAATGTGAAGAACTCTTTATACATGACTATGTACAAACTAGTCTAAAAAACAAATAAAAACTACAAAAAAAATAATAAAAATACAAAAAAAATTTAAAAAAAATTAAAAATAAAAAAAACAGTAACTAAAAATTTTTATGTACACATACTTGGAATAGAAGTGTTCTTAAAACGATTTGTATGTGTACGGGGCATGGCATAAGCCCTGGACTGTCTTAGATTATATCTGTGTTCTCTCTTAG